CAGAATAGAATAGAATACAGAATAGAATAGAATACAGAATAGAATAGAATACAGAATAGAATATAGAATAGAACAGAACAGAACGGAATAGAATAGAAAGACAAGATACATTCGTCAAGAATCATAAGGTACAACACTTAATGATAGTCATAGGGTACAAATAAGCAATCAGGAAACAATCATTATCAATATAAATCGTAAGGATACAAATACCTTGGAGGTACAAGAACAGGTAAATGAAAAGCATACCTACAACCAGCAGGAATACCATCCTTTGTTTTTTTCAAGGGAACTTTCATTGCTATTCTAACATTCTCTTTCCTTTCCAAGATTCATAGAGTCAGGGCAGATATTATTGGTCAGAGGAAATAGTCTGACCCCAAAAATGAAGCTTTTGAAGTACTAAAACCGTAGCATACACATTCCTATGTTTAAAGGATACAGACAAGAGATGTGGTGGCGATAGCCAGAATGGTTCCCACTGGAATAGATCTTTGAGCATCCTTGAGGTCACCTGATCGGTTGGAGCCGGCCATGATGCCTTCAAAGGAAAACAGGAAGACAGATAGGACTGATACTTACAAAAAAACCACCCAACAACACACCAACATACAGCCAGAGACTTCAGCCTCTGTATCGCCTCACCAGTCACAGAGGGGAAGAAGATGCCAACAAGGACAGTGAAGGAAGTTGCTATGTCCGCATACACATACAAGTGAAGGTTGTTCTTATTTCCAGCTACGTCAGCAGAAGGGTAGCTCGCCTTTTCCAGGATCTCGCCTTTCTCCAAGTAATGACCCCACACATTATCTGGGGTGGTGGAAACAAGACTCATTAGGAATAAATGGGGAAAAAAACCCCAGCTCGCTAGGTGTCAGATCCCTAAAAGTGAACTGCCATTCAATTGGGAGGAGGGGGGCCTCGGAGTTAAATCACTAGCTGTATCTGTAATAACTGAGTTTTACATCTTTACAACTGGTTTCCTGTCACTGGAAGACTGAAGGTCCCAGCATCTCTGGAGGGATGTTTATGATAGCCGTGTGGGATATCTTACTTTAATGTNACAACCAGGACCTGGATGACCGAGAATCTCTACAGACTTCGAGTCAGAAATATATTATCTTGCAAAATCTGGTCTGTGATGTCTAGTTACAAAATTAATTTGGGCTCAGAGGAATGGTGATCTTGGAGCCTTTCCTGCAAATGGGCTCTCATGATTGCTGTCTGTTCAGCATTTGGGTTATTTTCATGCCAATGACACGCTTGCTTTTTCAAATGTAATAGAAGCACAAATTCTCAAGATCAAGCTCCTTTTTTCCAGGCAGTTTCTGCATCCTCTAGTTCCGTAATGGCAAATGTCTGACACGCAGAGCCATATTTGCCGGGAGGGCAGCCCTTGGCAGCCCTCAGCTCCAGCACACATGCACACACAGGCCAGCTGATTTTCAGCCTTCCGGAAGGCTGCAGGAGGCTGTCTTCGCCCTCCCCAGGCTTCAGGAAAGCCTCTGGAGCCTAGAGAGGGTGAAAAACAGGCCCAACGGGAAGTTCGGGAATGAACTTCCAGTTGGCCCGTTGGACCTGTTTTTCACCTTCCCAAGGCTTCGGGGGCTTTCCTGAAGCCTGGGGAGGGCAAAAAACGCCCCAATGGGCAAACCGGAAGCTCATTAGAAAAAGATTAGCCATCACTGCTCTAGTTCGATGCATCAAATTATTCCAATTTTCACTCTTTAAAAAAATGGACTAACCCTGAGGAATGGAATAATGTTATCTTTGGCAATTGCTTGAAGGAGACGCGGAGCTCCAGTGAGGCTCTGCAATCCTGCTCCACAGGTAGAGAAGAAGGACCCGATCACGATGACCCATGGCGTGGGCCAGGCCAGCGTGCCCACCACTATGTTCTTGTTTACGGCATCACCGTACCTGTGAGGAAGAGGAGGAGGAGAGACTTTGTCGTTTGAAAAGAGACTTGAAATTGTTTCGTGTTTCCATCTGATTTTCAATTATTTTTCCAAGGATAAGTCAACTTACTCTACACATCAAGCAGGGGATTTCATCATCTATCTATCTATCTATCTATCTATCTATCTATCTATCTATCTATCTATCTATCTATCTATCTATCTATCTCCTTTCCTTTACTTCTCTTCCTTCCTCTTCCCCTTTTTACTTCTCCTCCCTCCTCCTTCCCCTCTTCCTCCTCCTCCTCAATCATCACCATCAACACCCCTTATTCTCTCCTAGAAACCCATCACTTTGAAAACCTCTCACAAAAGGGACTAGTAACCAAACTAGGTAAAAGTTAGCATGATCTCACAATATAAAGTGCTGAACTTGGATTTTACAGTTTTAAGTTTTACAAATTAGCCTCACCCTTTTAAGTTCCCCAAAAAACTATTCTTAGGAACCCGATAAATGCCATTTTATTCTTAGACTGCACAGGGCCAGGATCCAGAGCCTTTAAAGGCAACTTGATAGCATTGGTAACGTCTAAAAGTTCCCATTCTCTACATTTAAGAATGTAAGATAATACCAAATGTGGCTTAGCTGCATTTTTTCCCCTTTCCTCCCATCTGTTTCCACATTATCTGACAATGATTTCTTGGAAACGTAAAAGTCTGCTACTATTTTGCAAAGCTTGGGTTAAATAATAAAAGTGCTGTCCTTGCGAAATGGCTCAAATAGAGACATTCAAGGGCATACAAATGCTTTTAATGCAATCATAGAAAGGTATTGGAAGGACATGGGTCAATTCTGCAAATTCATAGCGGCTGAGCAATTCTGGGAGTTCCAGGTGAAACACATCTGGATGTTGTCAGATGCAAAATATAAATAATGCATGCAAAGTATAGATTATTTGCATGATTACCCTGTTACAGTCACAGGACACCATCGGGCAATGTTTCCCAACCTTGCCAACTTTAAGATGGGTGGATTTCAACTCCAAGAATTCCCCAGGCAGCCGGGCTGAGAGTTCAGTCTCAGATTAATTAAGAAAGAACAATGCAAATTCTTACTCATCTTTGATGAGTAATTCTGGCCCAATTCTTAGCGCATCTCTTGGCTTCACCTACCATAATGTGCACTTTGAGGAATGACACAATTATTCTTTTAAAAGGCTAAATAAATAAAAGGGTCTTTAGTAAAAAGTTAGTTGATAGTGGAATTTATAATTCCAGGCGGGGAGTGTGCTGCCCCAGCAGTATATAGATAGTGTAGGAATTAAGAGCTGTCTCCTTTAAGAAACTACCTCCTGGGAAATGTAGGCAGAGGCTGCCTTATGGGAAATGTAGTGATCATATCCGTGTTTCTGATTGGCCGCTGGGGCGTTCTGCCTGCTTTTCAGAACAAGTCAGTCATTTTAAATGCCATTGTGAACCAGAGAAGCCACGCATGTGCCTCGGTTGAAACATGGGAGCCAATTCATCATCTTTTTACACCACGTGATGGGACAGATTATGGAAAGGGATAAGTATCTTAACACTGAACTGTAAGTTTTGTTATTAAGAATGCCTGATAATAAACTTGATCTGAATGAGATTCCTAAGCGTGGAGTTAACTGCATGCCCTGAGCAAGCCTACAACGCTCGAGGCAGAACAGTAAGGAGAGAGACTAGAAAACTGCCTTAAAAAAAAAGGAAAAGTGAGGTTTTAGAGTTTTAGCCATTCGTGAGCATTTTATATGGTACTTTTTAAAAGACTGCACGATATCATTCTTCACATATAATAGTCCTGGGTGCTGAAAGCCGGTAATGTTTTTTTAAGGAAAAAAATACATTCCATGTAGGTTTGTCAAAAAGAAAAATCAGATATCTGTACTGCAAAGGAAAGTAGCAATAGGAATCAGAGGGGAAAAAATTGACTCCCTTCCTTGAGAGGAAAATCTGGAATAATTACTTACTTATCTCTAAGAACAATGCCTTCAATGCAAGCTCCAAACAACAACACACAGCTGAAATCTGAGAGGTTAATCAAGGTTAAGGAAGTCAGAATTTTGATGCAATGAATTCCTAAAGGTAAAGGTTCCCCTGGCTATATGTGCTAGTTGTTCCTGACTCTAGGGGGTGATGCTCATCTTGGTTTCAAAGGCGAAGAGCCAGCGCTGTCCGACAACGTCTCCATGGTCCTGTGGCCGGTATGACTAAACTCCGAAGACGCATGGAGTGCTGTTACCTTCCCACCAAAGGTGGTTCCTATTTGTCTACTTGCATTTTTTACGTGCTTTTGAACTGCTAGGTTAGAAGAAGTTGGGACAAGTAACAGGAGGTCACTCCGTTATGCGACACTAAGGATTTGAACCGCCAAACTGCTGACCTTTCTGATCGACAAGTTCAACATCTTAGCCTCTGAGCCACCGCGTCCCTCTATATTTATAGTAATCAGCCATAAATATCTCTTCTTCTTTTTAAATTCATGTTTTATTTGCCGTTTTCTTTTAACATTCCCCTTATCTTCAGCTAAGTCACAAAAATAGTCAGACTCTGACAGTACAATTTGCAAAGTAAAATAGTAATGATCAGGACAGCACAAAAGTCACCTGGATAATTTCTAACAGGCTGCCATTCCTCTTGTTTTCACACTTGTTCATGTGTTTTGTACGGAAGGAAGAGGTTGAGAAAGTGAAAAATAAGTGGAATAAACCCTGATGAGTGCTTAACACATCTGTTTTTATATCTTTGAGAGGGCAAGAAATAGAATAGAATAGAATACAGAATAGAATAGAATACAGAATAGAATATAGAATAGAACAGAACAGAACGGAATAGAATAGAAAGACAAGATACATTCGTCAAGAATCATAAGGTACAACACTTAATGATAGTCATAGGGTACAAATAAGCAATCAGGAAACAATCATTATCAATATAAATCGTAAGGATACAAATACCTTGGAGGTACAAGAACAGGTAAATGAAAAGCATACCTACAACCAGCAGGAATACCATCCTTTGTTTTTTTCAAGGGAACTTTCATTGCTATTCTAACATTCTCTTTCCTTTCCAAGATTCATAGAGTCAGGGCAGATATTATTGGTCAGAGGAAATAGTCTGACCCCAAAAATGAAGCTTTTGAAGTACTAAAACCGTAGCATACACATTCCTATGTTTAAAGGATACAGACAAGAGATGTGGTGGCGATAGCCAGAATGGTTCCCACTGGAATAGATCTTTGAGCATCCTTGAGGTCACCTGATCGGTTGGAGCCGGCCATGATGCCTTCAAAGGAAAACAGGAAGACAGATAGGACTGATACTTACAAAAAAACCACCCAACAACACACCAACATACAGCCAGAGACTTCAGCCTCTGTATCGCCTCACCAGTCACAGAGGGGAAGAAGATGCCAACAAGGACAGTGAAGGAAGTTGCTATGTCCGCATACACATACAAGTGAAGGTTGTTCTTATTTCCAGCTACGTCAGCAGAAGGGTAGCTCGCCTTTTCCAGGATCTCGCCTTTCTCCAAGTAATGACCCCACACATTATCTGGGGTGGTGGAAACAAGACTCATTAGGAATAAATGGGGAAAAAAACCCCAGCTCGCTAGGTGTCAGATCCCTAAAAGTGAACTGCCATTCAATTGGGAGGAGGGGGGCCTCGGAGTTAAATCACTAGCTGTATCTGTAATAACTGAGTTTTACATCTTTACAACTGGTTTCCTGTCACTGGAAGACTGAAGGTCCCAGCATCTCTGGAGGGATGTTTATGATAGCCGTGTGGGATATCTTACTTTAATGTCTAACTAGAGATAGCCATGGGAACATGTGTTTTAGTGACTCTCAGGGCAGAAGAGTTAAGGAAACATCTTCACACTTGTGTATTGGTCAGAATCTGCTTTCAGACAAAGGGGAGGGGTCATTATCAGCTTAATCCCACTTGCATTGCCTAAAGGTTTTCAGATGCTGCTTTGCCTCTAATGGTTTCCATCCTGGCTGATTAAAGGTTCCTTTTGAAATAATCCGTTTCAAGAGTCTTTACTTTCTCAAGTTAGGAGAGGAGCCATTACACTAGATTTACTAAGCACTAAGCAAAGTTTATACATAGGGGCTAAGCTTAGCCAAGAAAAAGTTGGTCTCCTTGGTGGTCCAGAAATGAGAAAATTCTTTACCAAACAGAATAGCTAACAACTCTGGTAGATTCCATACTTGAAACCATTAAAAATCTGACAAGTCACAATGGGAGATAAGACAATCAAAATAGCTGTCATAACAACAGGAAGTTCCTCCCATTATATATATATGTCAGGGATCTGATGAAGACATCAGACAGGAAGTTCTTCCCGTTATGTATAAATTATGGATCTTCAAACTTGGCAACTTTAAGACATGATCTTCATTCATGGAGTTCATGATGGTGACTTCAGGGAGTTGAAGTCCAAAAGGCTTAAAGTCTATAAGTTTGGAGACCCTTGATATACATACAAGGGATGATCTTCAACTGTACACTATACAAATGTACACTATCACAGCCACTATATTGTCTTTTTGGGGGGAGTTTGGTATTCCCACATTTCATTGTTGCACAAAGCCAGAAAAGTATATCATTTCCACGTCTTCATGTCCTCCTCCTCTTCCTCCCTATCTTCATTGTATGTATCTGAGATTATATCATTCCTCGTATTATGCAAGACACAGCACATGGGGTCTTCATTATCTTTAAAGCTCCCTATTGTTTAGAGCATGTAGGCAATTTTGAACCTTCGTGTTGTTGTGGAGCAACAAGGCCAATGATCTGGGGCTAAAGAATTGAAACCCAAAACATCTCAAAAGCATGAGATGGCTCAACCCTTAACTGACTCACAATCATTTTACAAGGTTTGGAGATTTTCTTAGCCCTAGAGGGAGATGCCAGATGTGGGATGTGAGACCTTCAGCCCAGAAATCACACCGTCCTTGAACAATGGATAAAGAGAATGTTTCTGTATTGAGGTAGTTGTTTTAAGCATTCAGTTGTGTCCGACTCTTGGGTACTTTATAGACAAGGGCTCTCCATGCTACCCTGTCAAGCACAGCTTCTTTCAATTATTGGATGCTCATCCTTGTATCAGTTTTGATGTTATCAGGCCGGCGTGTTCTTGGGTTGCCCCTTCTTATTCTACTAACCCTTCCTAGCATCGCTGCTTCTCCAATGAATTTGGTTCTGTGGATTTAATTAGGAAAACAGATCCTTCCCATCTCCTGTTCAATGGAATGTAATCAGTGTTTCTCAACCTTGGCAACTTTAAGATGTGTGAACTCCAGCTCCCAGAATTCCCCAACCAGCCATGTTGGCTGAGGAATTCTGGGAGCTGAAGTCCAGACATCTTAAAGTTGCCAAGATTGAAAAACAGTGGTGTACACCAACAGGACCTCTCTAAGGTTACAGACTCAGGTTTCCCCCCATACAGTTGCAACAGGTCCTCCATAAAGATCCCTGAATATGGAATTGGTGATATGGCAACCTTGATGTGTTCATCGATGCTCTTACTTCCTTTCATCCCCACATTATGCCATGGTGTTAAGATTACCTTTCAAAATTCCACTTGCTGCTCCCGGGATACCAACAATCTCGGTCACGTTATTTAAATGAAAATATTCATCGCAGTGGCCGGAGGTTGTGTTATAACCTGGGCAAAAGAGGTTGGTGAGCTTGGTGGGGACTGTCTCATTGTTGATCACTGTCGTTTTGGCACACATATCAAACTGGTCCCTTGAAAGAGTCCGATTGCCCAGCATGCACACCCTAGGGGGAAAAAAGGACATCAGCGTGAAAGTTCACACATTTCTATTCAAAGAAAAATATCCCCACCTCACTACCCCAACATTTCTCAAAAAGCTGCCAAAAACGGTTCATTAAAAATATGCAAGGATATATCTTTGTTTCTAATCTTATTAGACCTCCTTTTGATGAACATCATGAAGTAAAGGCTCCCTTCAAACATATGTGCTAATCATTCCCGACTCTAGGAGGCAGTGCTCATCTCCATTTCAAAACCAGAGCCAAGGTGGCGCAGTGGTTAAATGCAGCACTGCAGGCTACTGCTAGATCAGCAGGTCAGCGGTTCAAACCTCACCGGCTCAGGGTTGACTCAGCCTTCCATCCTTCCGAGGTGGGTAAAATGAGGACCCAGATTGTTGGGGGCAATATGCTGACTCTCTGTAAACCGCTTAGAGAGGCCTGAAAGGCCTATGAAGCGGTATATAAGTCTACTGCTATTGCTAAAAAAAAACCCGAGGAGCCAGCGCTGTCCAAAGATGTCACTGTAGTCATGTGGCTGGCATGACTAAATGCCGAAGGTGCACGGAGCACTGTTCCTTTCCCACCAAAGGTGGTCCCTATTTTTCTATTTGCATTTTTACGTGCTTTTAAACTGCTAGGTTGACAGAAGCTGGGACAAGTTCACTCTGTTATGCGGTGCTAGGGATTCAAACCACTGAACTGCCGACCTTTCTGATCAACAAGCTCAGCGTTTTAACCACTGAGCCACCTCGTCCACTAAACACCACGAAGGTTGCAGGAATAAGACTAATCCAGCATCTGACTTCTCAAAATAATCAGCCAGGCGTGTAAAACCGAGGGTGAAAACATCAACATTTGCTGATACACAAAAAGAAACTTTTCGCTTAGCTCTTAGCTAAATTTATCCCCTTAATCAGTTTACAGAAGAAGATGCCAAGTTCTAATATTAGCAATGAGGGATGGGGGGAAAAAAAACCTTCTACCCTTTTTTGTTTTTACAAGTTGCATTCTTTTCAATTAAAGTTCCAATTTTGGTTTAGGAATTCAAACATTTTTTTCTATTCCATCCCATCTGAAAAGTTATTCAATTGGAGATATAAATATATATATTAAGACACAGAGGAGGAAATATAAAGATTAAACAGATGATAGACAGTATTTTGTATTCTTATAAGGTAAAGGTTCCCATCGCACATATGTGATAGTCGTTCCTGACTCTACGGGGCGGTGCTCATCTCCTTTTCAAAGCTGAAGAGCCAGCGCTGTCCCAAAATGTCTCTGTGGTCATGTGGCTGGAATGACTAAATGCCGAAGGCTCACGGAACACTGTTACCTTCCCGCCAAAGGTGGTTCCTATTTTTCTACTTGCATTTTTACATGCTTTTGAACTGCTAGGTTGGCAGAAGCTGGGACAAGTAACGTTATGCGGCACTAGGAATTCGAACCGCTGACCTTTCTGATCGACAAGCTCAGTGTCTTAGCCACTGAGCCAATGCGTCCCCTTCTGCATTCTTGTACCAGAGCACAAAACAACACTGAACATTTATATATGTGAGAACTTAAACAAGCAAAACAAAGAGAAACAAATGCAAACTTTGGACTTTTTCTATGTTCTCCCCTTTTGTGTGAACATTACTTGACTATATTACCACCACACACATTATCTGTATATTTATTTATAGTGTATAAATATCACTGTAAATAAACAAATAGAATGCACAAATAATGGAAGATTCCTTTTGAATCTTACTGCTTGTACATTTTGCCCAAAAATAGTTTCTAAGCAGGTGCCTTAACAATCTGGTAAGTTTCAAAGATTCAGAAACTTTGTTGTTTTTACTTCAATACATTTCACAAGGTGGGTCTCCTAGAAGTAATTTTGTATTAATTTAGTGCAAAAAAAAAACAAAGTCCAGTGACATCTCGGTTTTCTAAAATAAAAACCCACAGGGCCACTAATGACAAAAGCAAAGCCTTTAAATGACCCCAAAATAATTAATACATTTAATAGGAATTCCATTGATAGGTTCATTGTTAGGAGCTTCTGCCATTACAAGTAGTCCTTGACTTATGACTGAAGTTGAGCCCAACATGTCCAGTTCTTAAGTGAATTTTGCCCAATTTAGTGACCTTTCTTGTCACTGTTGTTAAGTGAATCACTACAATTGTTCGCAACTTTTGTCAGAAAGTTGCAAAAGGAGAAGTGATATGATCACACTGCAACCATCATAAATATGAGTCAGCAGCCCAGCGTCCGAATTTTGATCACTTGACCATACAACAGTTGTAAATGTGAAAAATGGTGATAAGTCACTTGAACGGTCACTAAATGAATGGTAATGAGGACTACCTCCTTAACATCCAACTTGCCAGATGCAAACAACTAGAGCACCTCTGAGAATGGGTTAAATCGAGTTCTTCATTGTTGATAATCAGTTTACAAGAATTCACCACATAGTCTTCCTTTGGGGAATCTAGATATTGACCTAAGGCTTTGACCTCAAACGTCCCCCCCCTCCCCCAAATGGGTACCTCCTTTAATGGACTGTATGCTGGAATATCTTTTAACCAGGGGTGAAAGGCTACCGGTTTGGACCAATTTGTAAAAAAATGCTACCGGTTCGCCCAAACTGGTAGCAAAAAAATGCTATTGGTTCAGGCAAACCAGCATTTCCGACAATCAACTGTCACACATGATTTATATTAGCTAGAAAATAGGCGTGTTCGGTAACAGGCTCCGCCCATCTGCCCAGACATCATCATGTCCGTTTTCGATGCTCTGCGCAGGTGCAGAGGTGGCATGTGTGCTCACATTTGTGAACCGGTAGCGAAGGTAAGTACTGTATTTTTCGGAGTAAAAGACACTCTGGAGTATAAGACGCACCAAGATTTTGAAGAGGTTAATTAAAAAAAGGTTTTGCCCTCTGCAGGCCTCCCAAACCCTCTGCATGCCTCATTTTCTGTGAAAAACAGGGCATACATAGGCTTTAGGAGGCTTGTAGAGTGCTCCTGGGGGTGCCCCCCCAAAAAACGAGCAAAAAACTGGTCCAGGGTTTCAGGAGGCCAAAAATGCTATATTCAGTATATAAGATGCACCCAGATTTTCACTCTCTTTTTTGGGGGGAAAAGGTGTGTCTTATACTCTGAAAAATACAGTAGATTTCACTTCTGCTTTTAACCCTCCCATCGTGGCCTCCTCTCTTCCGTCCCTGGGTTCTCGCAGGCACAAGCAACCTGACCCACTTGTGAATAGTCTCAAACAGAAGCTTTATTGTTGGTTACCTATATTGCAAGAATCTTGCCCAATGGACAGCATTCTCTGAGGAATGGTCAGATACAACTTCAAGGATTCTAATTGTTCAGGTGTTGCTACTTTCTGCAGTGCAAGGACTCTAAGCTCACCCCCACCCTCTTAACACCTCCCTCCAAGCTGGCTAGAGATTTTACCACACAACTGGCATTTACAAGTTGACCTCCCCAAGTACTTCTACTTACGGGAAAAAAGGTGGACTGAAGATGGATTTAATTGACCCAGCATAGATGGATAAGATGGAAATGATGACACAAGCCAAAAAGAGTGAAGCAAACTTATTCACATATTTTACACCCACAAAGACCACAAGAGCCATGAAGCTGAGAAATAAGGTCCCATAGACTCGCATATTATTCAGTGTGGCACTGGAAGTATCATGGGCCCCAGTTGAATGGAAAATGGCGGCCTGGGGAGCAATATATGTCTGAAAAGAGTAAGAACATGACTTTAGTGTTGGCAACAAAAGCAAGCTGTGCAAGGCACACATTGGGAAGTCAAGAGGTACACAACATCCAGAAGTAAGTCAGACACCATGGCCCTTCCCCAATTAGGCCAGCCACTAGACGATTTGAGATGGAAGCTTCCAGAATTTCAACCAAGGTGACTTCTGAACCATGATGGACCCGGGAAATCTGGGAACGGTCATCCTAACACAGTGCTCCTCAACCTCACTAAATTTAATGTGTGCAGACTTCAACTCCTAGAATTCCCCAGCCAGTTGAAGACTTCTGGGATCTGAAGTCCATAGATCTTTAAAACTGCTGTAATTGAGAAACACTGTCTTCTGGGATCTGAAGTCCACAGATCTTTAAAACTGTTGTGATTGAGAAACACTGTCCTAATGTGTCTGAAAAGCTACTGCTAAAGGAACCCTACAGAGGAGATGCCTTTGCACAACCAATAGACCTTAAAAAGGAGAAGATATATTGTAGAATTCCATTCTTACTTCTTAAACATGGATTATAATCCCATGGTACTTGAACTGGGATTATGTCCCATTCTGTTCAGAGGGTCTTACTTCTCAATAAACATAAATGGCGTATCATCACCATCACCAACCCTTACAATGTACCTATAAGTGCGAGACATTGAGAGACAAGAAACTACAACTTATTTTAAAACTAGTTGATAACCCAGCGTTGCCGGGTATTTATTTATAGGGGGAAAATGTCCGGAGGAAAGGTAATTTTAATGTTGGATTTTCCCCCTTACCAGAGGGAGCCCCCTTGTGGAGTACTGTGAAGCCGTTACTATGGCTACCACAACTCCACTATGCTGTACAGTAGAAGCCATTTTAAGGCACAACAGGCTGTATCTTAACAGAACACACACACCAAGGAGTGTTAGGGGTGTTTTACTGCCACAGTACTTTTCTCCAGAGGGTAAGTCATCTGTGTACCAAGTTTGATTGAAATTGCTCAAGGCATTCCAGAGTTATGCTGGAACACCCACAAACACGTAAAACAGAGAAGGGCAAACTGTAGTGTTCTTCTCCAGATCTTTGAGGTACCAGCTTCAGCCAGTCCCACCCAGCAGGGTGGGGAGTAAAATATGATGGGAGATGGAATCTTAATAAAAAGTAAAGAATTATGAGTGGCCTATCCTTGCTATCTGAACACCACCAAGAGCAGCATGTCAGGCCAGATAACGCTTTGAAGTTTTAAGAAAATAGATGCTTCAATTAGCAGAAGCAATAATGGAACATTTTCAACAAATCTCTCTACATGTTCATTGGTAATTCTAATACATTGTGACTTCTCTGGCAATATATTTGTTCGCTACTTACTAGTAGGATCTCAATGGCACCCAGGATGTACATGGCACCTGCGAATGTTGTTCCCAAGTAGAAACACAGTCCCACTGCACCTCCAAATTCAGGACCCAGTGATCTTGAGATCATGAAGTAGGAACCACCAGCTACCACACAAAAATGCAAACAAAAGTGAAAAGTTTTTTAAGCAAATAAATTAAACAAATATACAACATGACGATGCTCACCAGGAGATGAGAAATTCTAGTCCCACCTTAGGCGTGAAAGCCGATTGGATGACTTTGGGCCAATCACCAGGAGATGGGGAGTTCTAGTCCCACCTTAGCTGTGAAAGCCAGTTGGTTGACTTTGGGCCAATCACAGGAGAGGGGAGTTCTAGTCCTACCTTAGACATGAAAGCCAGTTGGTTGACTTTGGCCCAATCACCAGGAGATGGGGAGTTCTAGTCCCACCTTAGCCATGAAAGCCAGTTGGGTGACTTTGGGCCAATCACTAGGAGATGGGGAGTTCTACTCCTGCCATCCATGAAAGCCAGCTGGGTGACTTTGGGCCAGTCCTCTCTCTCTCAACCCAACCCACCTCATAGGGTTGTTGTTGTGGGAAAAACAAAAGGAGGAAAGTGTGTTGGGTAAGTTTGCTACCTTGAGTTATTTGTAAAAATAATAAAGACGAGATAGAAATATACATTTAAATAAATAAATAAATAAATAAAAACTTTCACAACTAAAAGAAGCAAAAAAATTTCTGGAAAACTAAATGTCAGGAGGTTAACAGGCTACTACAACAGACTGTCTCTGAGAGCCTGCTTTGTATAATGCTGGGAAAAGTGGGCAGCAAGGAAAGAAAAGGAAGAACAGAAGCAGAGTGAATGAAATCAGAGCAGTGGTGGGTATACCTGATGAAAGACCTAAAGGACCAGGTTGGCAATAGCAATAGCAGTTAGACTTATATACCGCTTCACAGTGCTTTACAGCCCTCTCTAAGCAGTTTGCCTCCAACAATCTGGGTCCTCATTTTACCAACCTTGGAAGGATGGAAGGCTGAATCAACCTTGAACCGGTCAGGATCGAACTTCTGAAAGTGGGCAGAGTTAGCCTGCAATACTATATTCTAACCACTGCACCACCACATCTCTGTTCTGGGGAAAATCTATCTAGGTCGTTGATATCAGCTTGACAGCAAGTCATTCATTCATCTTTTCCCCCATTGGAACTGAGCTTCAAAATCATAATCATGGCAAATAAATCACAAAGTACCTGGAACTACCCCATTGGTTGCAATTGCGCTCATTGATATAGCTGTCAGCATGGTCTGTGAATGACAATAACATAGTTTAAATTATTATTATTATTATTTATTAGACTTATATACTGCTTCATAGGGCTTTCAGCCCTCTCTAAGCGGTTTACAGATTTTTTAGCAAATTGAGTCAGCAACTTGCCCCCACAGTCTGGGTCCTCATTTCACCCACCTCGGAAGGATGGAAGGCTGAGTCGACCTTGAGCCGGTGAGATTTGAACCGCTGAACTGCAGATCACAGTCAGCTGAAGTGGCCTGCAGTACTGCACCCTAACCACTGCGCCACCTCGGCTCTTATAATAAATATATATTATATATTTATATTATATATATTCTTATATATTAAATATATAGGAATGCAAGTATCATCCACTTTAAATACACCACATGTTTGCAAAGGGATGTAACCGAATCTTTTAGTTATTTGTCTTTCCAACCCAAAAGAATATTATTATATAAGGGGTTTGGGATTCTGTATTGTCCATCCAACAGAAGGATAAATTTCTGGAAATTGAACAGAACAAGACCAAATTCGGTATGGATGAAAACACATATATTTTTCATTATTACAGGGAATTCTAGCAATTTTAGGTGTTAACAGATGTTTCCTCCACCGATGAGGTTACAGTTTGTGTAATGAAACATCTCCAACAAAAGAACCAATCTTAGAGACAAACAAGAACCCACAGTTGAAGCGTGAGCTACAAATATTCTCCTTTAATGTTTCCCTCACTGGCATCAAATGGGCCTATTTTAATGGAACGGAAAAAGCACAGAAGTAGAAGAATGTGCCAATGGAACATCAAATTTAGTCTTTAGATATAGAATTCCTTGATTCAAAGTACATGTTTATCGAACCAATTTGTTGAGTCCTAGTTTCCATCTCGCAAGCCTTGGGGTTTCTAGTAAAAAAAGAAAGAAAAAGGAAAATATAGGGAAGAAATCCACCGAGCTGGAAGCTGCCCAGTTATAAATTTGGACATTGAGATATCTCCATCGGGAAGGTTCTGGATAAAAAGTCATAGCATGGTTGGAAGACAAGAAAGTCGGTGGCAACTAAAGGATGTTTCTCCCTAGGCCCATGATGACAAACCTATGGCACAGGTGCCAGAGGTGGCCCACAGAGACTTCTCTGGGGGCATGCAGTGTCGCCAGCTGCTCTTCTGGTTTCCAGCACACACATGTGTGCCAGACAGCTGGTCTTGGGAAAACAGACTGAAAACGACCCAAAAACGGCCAAGAACCAGGCTGTTTTTCAGGCCATTTTCAGGCTGGTTTTGGCCTGGAAAACACCCAGAAAATGACCAAAACTGGCCAAAAAACAGGCATGCACATGCTGGCCAGATAGTCCTTGGGTTTCCGGCGTGCACACATGCATGCACATTCCAGTTTGGGCACTCGAAAAGGATCGCCATCCCTGCCCTAGGCCATATACTCACACAACAGCAGCAGATTAAGACAATAAGGAAGGCCTGGAAGACACCTGCTGTCCCCACTATCCATGTCAGCCGAAGGAAAAGGATGACCCCAAAGATATTTTGCATGCATGGCAGGTAGACGCCCATCAGGGTACCCATACTGGGAGACTGAAAAAAAGAAGACATCATCTCAACAAAGTTGCACGATGGACTCTTGTGGTCCAAACACTGTTCCCCCCTCTTCAAGGATGCCTCTTGGCTGGGCAGTCATCTCCTGTGACAAAAATTAATCATCTACATTCAAAGCTTGTCCTTTTCTTCTAAAAGTCACCTTGTAAGCGCATGGAGATTTAGCCAAGGGATTGGTTACGATTCATGGGCTTCCATCAGAGGCTGTCTTTCTGCCCATCTAAATCAAAGGTCCCCAACCTTTTGGGCACCAGGGAATGGTTCCATGGGAAGGGGATTTTCCATGGACCGGGGGGGGGGGCGTGGTTTCGCATGCTGCCTGCATCCCGAGGATGGGACTTCACTTGTTTGCGGGGCACGGTTTCTGGCATGCCGTGGCCCAGTGTCGGTGCACGGATTGGGTATTGGGGACCCCTGATTGTCTGGGCCTTGCAAAGTTGAATCCTCACAAAGAAAAACTGAACCCCAAAACTGAAGAAAGCTACATACTTTTGAAACTTTACTTCTTGAGCCTTCGGCATTTTCTGCTTCTTCGTGTTCCTTGGCTCCCTGAGTGAGATTTGTGTAGCTGACCAATTTGCCCAATAAAGAAGACACCTTCGGACGAATATCCAGTTCTTCCTACAAAGGGAAACGTGCAAGAATGCATTGGCCAACGGGTGCAGTAGAGTTTTAGCATTTTGGTCCTGGAAAAGCTTCGCCTGTGTGCTTCAACTCTTGCATGGTGCTCTCTGAAGGAGGCCTAAAGCAACCTATCCCCATGGCACTAGTTCAGCATCCTTTCTTGGCATGTCCCAGCAACATGGGCGAAACCAAAACCAAAAGATTAGGGGAATGGACCTCCCAGAGGAAGAGGGACAATCTTGGTTGCCACCAAGCCAACTTCTGGAAAGGCTAACTAGGCAAGCAGGCTGATGGGTAGCATCTCTCTGTAGCCATCTCTATGGAAATGAATTCACAAAATGGACCATCTTGTTGCAACCCACAAAATAGCCAGGCTGCTGAGCATTTTGCTTTTTTCTAAAAAGGCCATGAGACAGAATAGAGATATAATTTGAGAGCGGGAATTATCCTAAATTTTGGCAGTTTTCTAGCATCCTAGCTGGCCAGCCAGAAAAAAAACAACTGAAAACATTCATCCTAGCTTTTTTTTTAGTTCTATAAATGCATTCATATCAATGAATAGTTTCATTTATTTTTATTTCTCGTCTGTGCAATACTCAGCATGGGGATCAATTTTTAAATGTGATCCGTTACCCCACCAAATCTCTAAAATAAAACAGGATCTTCAGAAAAAATATATTATAACATATTGCTGAAAGCATTCTTAAGATGATTTGATTATTTTTAAAGGCAGGGATGACAATTAAATTGGTGTATCTATGACTGCCATGGTAAATTAGTTCCTTGTGCCGAGTCAATTTTTTTAGGAAATTTAAAAAAAAATCAATCATAGGTTTCTAAAGGGGCTGCCACAAAGAAGAGGGAGTCAAGCTGTTCTCCAAAGCACCTGAGGGTAGGACAAGAAGCAATGAGTGGAAACTAATCAAGGAGAGAAGCAACTTAGAACTTAGGAGAAATTTCCTGGAAGTTAGAACTATTAATCAGTGGAACAACTTGCCTCCAGAAGTTGTGAATGCTCCAACGGTGGAAGTTTTTAAGAAGTGACATGATAACCATTTCTCTGAAGTGGTGTAGGGTCTCTTGCCTAAGCAGGGGGTTAGACTAGAAAACCTCCAAGGTCCCTTCCAACTCCTATTCTATTCTATTCTATTCTACTCTATTCTATTCTAATTCATTCTATTGTAGATTTATTGCCAACATTCCTCGTGATTTAGATCTTTGGTCCATTTAAGTGAGTAGAGCAGTGTTTCTCGACCTTGACATCTTTAAGATATGTGGACTTCAACTCCCAGAATTCTGCCCTAGAGTCATGGATCCTGTCCAATAGAGCAGCTTCCATAAACAAGGAGCTTCCTGTCCTTCCATATGAAGCTATCTCCCCATCCTCCTCTCCCAGCCAGCTAGAACTGCACTGCCAAGATAACATCAAGAGTCAAATCCCAAACCTGTGAGTAGCCATCGTCCCAGGAGTTATTGTAAGACATGCTCATCTCATCCCATGGATAACCCAATTCTCTTTTCTGAGCTCGTATCCAGGCATCAATTTTCTACTATGATGCGAACCAAAGTTCCATAACAAGCACTGGAGCAGTGTTGCTCAACCTTGGCAACTTGAAGATGGGTGTAGGTCAACTCCCAGAATCCCCCAGCAAGCTGGGAAATGAAGTCTATTCATCTTCAACTTGCCAAGGAAGTGTAGAGCTTTCTTCAACAAATGACTTACAGATACAACCTTAAAGCTGATTGATTCACAGATAACATCACTGCATCCCTTTAAAATGACATTTTATACTTTGAAAACTTTCTAGGGATTGAAGGGATTACAATCAAATCAAGACATTTATGACTGCCATGGTAAATTAATTCCTTTTGTTGAGTCAATTTTTTAAAAAAAAAATTAAAGGAATTTTTTTAAAAAAATCAATCATGGATCTTTGGTCATTTATTCTACTGCAGATTTATTGCCAACATTCCTCATTTTGCAATGCAAAATATTAATTTTTCATATGTAGCTGCCAGAAAACCATGAGTCCTGGTCTCGCCTTAGAGCTGGGTGACCTTGAGCCAATCACTTTGTCTCAGCCCTAGGAAATAGGCAATGGCAAACAATTCTGAAAAACCTTGGCAACAGAACGGCAGGGATTTGTCTAAGCTCAAAAAATTGGATCAGAAGAGAAAAAAAACAACTACTTGAGTACCAACTGTGTTTCCACATAGACTAAGTTTCCACATAGTCTTTAAAGGTAGTAATGTACGGGCATTTAGATCCCAAAAAATTGGCTTGTATGTATCCGAACCTACAACCTAAATGCTGGAGATGTGATTGTGCTGATGCTACGTATTATCATATGTGGTGGACTTGCAAAAAGGTCAAAGCATTTTGGGTTAAAAAAATATGGTGGATTATGCAAAATATCTTTAAAAAGAGGATAAAGTTTACCCCTCCGTTATTCTTCTTAGGTATAACTACTGATTGTACTGTTATAGAGACTAATTTGATTCTGAACCTAACAACGGCAGCAAGATTGTTGGTGGCGCAATACTGGAAGAAGGAAAATTTGCCTACTATTCAAGAATGGACATTAAAAGTAACAAACTTAGCAGAGATGGCTAAAATATCAGCATATCTCAAGGATCACTCAGATGAGAAATATAAGCTGGAGTGGAGAAGATGGATTGATTATATTCAAAATAAATATGGGACTAAGAAACTCCAGATAGCTTATGATTGAAGAAGCAAGGAATGATATAATTTGTTTAGAATTAGCTCAACAAAAGGGGAGTTAACGTACAAGTGAAGGATGATGCTAAAGTCTGTTAGTTTACTTTAGAATACGATTGTTAAAGATTTATACCCTGTATTTGCTCTGGGAGGTTGGGGGGGGGGGGGGGGGGGGTGGGGGGGGGGGAGGGTAGGGGAGGAGAGGTAAATATTTGTAAAAGCTTTTAAAATTTTTAATAAATAAAAAAGGTAGTCATGTACAGAGCACATTATAGTAAAGATTACTACCAAGTAATGATAAGAACACAAGAGTGATGCGGTGGCCTAGAGGTGGACTCTTGCCTCCCAATCAGGAGAGTGTGAGCTCGATCCTGGGTAGCGGCAGATATTTCTCTCTCTGGGCACAACGAGAATACATCTGCTAAAACAATCTCTGGATTGGCGACAAGAAGGGCATCTAGCCAGTAAACACTCAGCTCCATTCAGTTGCCCAAGACTCCACCCCCACAAGGGATTACGGGGTCTTTAAAAGAAGATGAGGAATGATAAGAACATGAGTTACAAAATACTTCCTAATTTAGATCAATATTTTTTTCTTTTTTAGATCAAACTTTTCCTGAACAAAAACATTTGTTATGGATGCCGAGAGTCTTTGCACATCTTTGTATGTTTAGGTAACAAACTGAAGGCATAAGGGGGGAAAAAGCTCTATAGTTTGAAGTGGGCCAGAACCTCCTTGATGTCCTTCAAAACTCCACTTGTTGGACAAGCGCCAAAATGAGCATTCTGGAAAGCTGAAAAACTGACCCCCCAAAAATGAAATTTCAAGCATCGTTACCTCAAATAAGGCCAGGTTTCGGTCATAGTAATCTCCTTTGCCTGGATCCGAGCTGTTGAGGAAGGGGCAACTCTCTTTATGGTTGCCATGTCCTGTAGAAAGAAAAATAAGGGTGGACGTCATTTCAGGAAGGAGGTGGCCAGATTTCCTAAAAATGCCCCAATTGATTAATAGGTATCGAGTCAAGTCTTCAATACAAAACTAGTCATTTATTAGGAGCATCATTAGGCAAATCTGTTCGCAGTCAAATCCATGCTTTGTTTGATTTAATCCTGAACTTTATCCCTGTTTCTTCCCTCCCCTCACTCTGTGTCATAAATCACATTCCCCTATAAGATGCACCTCTCCCAAAACCAGCTGCAGTGATCTGAGATCCGACTCCAGCCGACAGTATGCATGAAATTCCTTTCCCCCTCCTTCTCTCCCCATGAAAATACTGGGAGTTGACAGAGATGGTATTCAGCCGGTTGGAACCGGTACGCCGAACCGGTAGTGGAAATTGCGAGTGGCCCCGCCCACTCACCCCCAGCTCTATGCCGGCATATTTAGGCACGTTTTCAAGCCATATACATGTATACAAGCCATGTGCACGATCAAAGCACATACGCAGAAGGCTGAGTGCATGCGTGGACGCACACACTCACATTTGTTACCCAGTAGAGAAAGTACGTGAATATTTTCCCTGGAAGAGAAGTTCAGGAGAATTCTGAGAAACAATAGGGAGGGAACTATCCCTCCATTGCATTTTACATTGCTGTAAATTGGATTATCACCAATCACTTTGGGATTATTGGTGGCTCCTTCTCCTCTTGTGGAGAAGACATGGCTTGTCAGCCAGCTAAAGTGGCATAAAAGGATTTGCCTTTATACAACCCAAATCGTTTCTGGTTTTCTATTTGATGTTGATTAGAAAAATGTCTTTATTACAAAGGCTTCTAGGTCTCTTCACTCATAAAACTCTAACCAGTTTACTAGCAGTACATTCAATACATATCGTGCCTTTGCAATAAATCAAGCTTTATCCAGTGAAACGTATCAATAAAAATAAACATTGGTGATTCAGATAGTTAACCATGCCATTATAAAATTATGGTATTATCAAGCAGATTAACCTCAACTATAACAATGTTTAATTTCGGGAATTGTGGAGTTCTTGGTGTTCTCTGAGTTTGTTGTTTGCTTGCAAACATTTATTTACTTGACTTTTATCTATCTTTAGGGATGAGGTAGCTCAGTGACTGAGACGCTGAGCTTATCGATCAGAAAGGTCTGCAGTTTGGTGGTTTGAATCCCTAGCGCCGCATAACGGGGTGAGCTCCCGTTACTTGTCCCAGCTTCTGCCAACCTAGCAGTTTAAAAGCATGTAAAAAATGCAAGTAAAAAAATAGGGACCACCTTTGGTGGGAAGGTAACAGCGTTCCGTGCGCCTTCAAAGTTTAGTCATGCCAGCCACATGACCACGGAGATGTCTTCGGACAGCGCTGGCTCTTTGGCTTTGAAATGGAGATGAGCATTGCCCCCTAAAGTCAGGAAGGACTAGCACATATGTGCGAGGGGAACCTTTATCTTTACCTTCTGCTTCTGTTTCTCTCTCTTTCTCTCCCTCGTTCTCTCTACTTTCTTTCTTTCTCTTTATCCTTAACTTATATTTTTAACTGTAACTTTAACTTTATCCTCCTCCACTACCACCACCTCCTCTTCTTCTCTATTGGATTTTCAGAAACTCTTGATTTATTTTCTGAGCAGTTCTTCATGCCACCCTCCACTCCCACCAGTTCTGGAAATGCTCAGAATTTCATTACTGCAGAAGACCAGACTTCCCTGAGGAACCATCAAGTTCTCTACAATATTGTGAAAGTAGCAGGAGGCAGCCACTGCAACATTAGCAGACTTGTTATTGTTCCTGTGAAAATAGAGCATCAAAGGCACAATCATTTTTTCCCCTAAGATCACCTTCATTTAAAGTTCTGAGAAATCTGGGCTCTTCATATTGTTCCAGCTCATAAACCTTGTATTAGCCTGGTCCAATTTTCTACCGTTCAGGTGGCTGCCAAAACTCAAACTCCATGGTCAATAGCTGGCCAAGTTGTAGTCTCTGCGAACAACCACTTTAAACTCAATGTAAATCGTTCTAAACTTGACTGTAAAAAATACGATTTCTGTAATTGAATTGTCGAAGTCTGGAATGCCCTACCTGATTCAATTGTCTCAGCTACACATTTTCACAGTTTCAGTCACAAACTGACTTCCGTGGACCTTACTTCATACTTAAGAGGTGTGTAGAGGGGGCGTGTATAAGGGCACTAACGGGCCTATTGTCCCTGTCACTGTATTTTTATATTATTCTTGTTTTTGTTTCTGTTTGGCAAATTACAATAAATAAAAAATAAACAAACAAACTGGAGAACGCTGAGTAGGAAAAATGTGGTACCCAGTTTTTCATTTCATTCCAAGCTCATTGTCTTCTTTTTTGCTCTACAATTCATTTGCTCACAATGCTATGGACAATTGCAACTCCAGTTTGAAAAAAAAAAAGAGGATTTACAACCATTAGATTACCAGACATATTTAACAAAGCATTTGGCTAATGAAATAGAAACTCATCTGACTGTTTGCATTTTTAAAGAATTCTAACATGTACCTGAGAGTTTGGAAGAAGGACAGAAAAAATTAGCCAGGTTCACTTTGTGACTCCATTGGTGAAGTCCAAGAAGCCCACTTGGAGGAGACCTTCCAATTCTCAGGAGAATTGGAAAGCTTTGGAAGCAGAGAAGAACCTTAAGCTCAAAATCTGACAATGCAGATTTTGCAGTATGACTCGTGCAATATACTGCACAAGTAAAAAAGAGGGCTGTGAAAATATATACAGACCCTTCACATCCTGGACATAAATTGTTTCGACTCCTACTCTCAAAACGAAGCTATAGCACACCAAGACAACTAGACACAAGGACAGGTTTTTTTCCCGAACGCCATCACTCTGCTAAACAAATAATTCCCTCACTACTATCAAACTATTTACTAAGGCTGCATTACTATTAATCTTCTCATTGTCCCTATCACCCATCCCCTCCCACCTATGACTGTATGACTGTAACTTTGTTGCTTGTACCCTTACGATTTATATTGTTTCCTAATATGATTCGATTGCATACCCTAAGACTATCATTAAATATTGTACTTCATGATTCTTGATGAATGAATCTTTTATTTTATGTACCCTCATATGCACCAAAGACAAATTATTTGTGTGTCCAATCACATTTGGCCAATAAAGAATTCTATTCTATTCTATTCTAGTCTAGTCTAGTCTCTTCACCTCCTCCTCCTCCTCTTCTTCTATTCTATTCTATTTCCCTATTCCTATTCTATTTCCCTATTCTATTTCCCTATTCTATTCTATTCTATTCTATTCTATTTCCCTATTACTATTCTATTTCACTGTACCTATTCCTATTCCATGCTATGCTATTCAATCTGCACTGGACATCTTTTAGATATTCAAACTCCTCAAAGGAGGAATCATAGGCTGCAAGCTGTCTGATCAACTACCCAGGATCTCTCGTTCTCCAAATTTCAAATCCCAACCCATCTCGCTCCAGAGCTGGCACTTTGTCCCTTTTTACATTTCAGGTACAGCAGCTCTTGGGGGAGCAATGGCTAGTGGTTAAAGACACTAAATTTGTCAGCTAGCAGGGTTCGAAACCTGACTACTGCATGACCAGGTGAGCCCCTGTCCCTTGTGCAATTCAGGACTCTGGGAATGAAGTCAGACCAATGTTTCCAACAGCAAAGTTTTCATAGCTGCCAAGTCAGATGAGGTCAAGAACTTTATCATTAACCATATTCTGTTGTTTTGTTTCCAGAAGAGGCCAATCAATTCCCAACAGCTCTAGGCTTTTGTCCTGAACTTCACAATCGAAAATGCAGTTAACACCCCATGACCAAATCCTCTGTTCCTTCCAACACCGTTTTTCACAAAAATTGATTATTTACAATGGAACGTTAATACATTCTTAAATTTTTCCCGTGAACCAAGAGGCAACTTACATGTCGACCAATCACAATGTGTCACAAGCAATCTTCTAACATACATCTTCCTTCCTCAGACAGACTCTCTCACCCACATTCAATATCCTGGCTTCCTCTTTTCCCCCCTCTGGTTCCAGACAAATCACCACCCTACTTGCAAACTGCAAAGAAACACAAATCGTATATTGTCCTAGTAAGCTGTTGTCTGAAAAAGCTCCAATTTTTCCCAAACAAAAGTTGAGGAAGGAATTATAGACCGGGTTCACACATATGTACAAACAGATCCATTCAAAATTATGCTTTGTTTGACCATGGTTTTCTGCAACTGTATCACAGCGAACTACATCACAGTCATGTTCAAAAAATGTTTTAGCTTTATTTTACATAACACCGGGGTTGTTTTCACATAATTTGTACCAAAGTACTTATAAATACAAAGTACTTGTAAAAGTAGGGACACAGTGGCTCAGTGGCTAAGAAGTTGAGCTTGTCGATCAGAAAGGTCGGCAGTTCGGCAGTTCAAATACCTAGTGTCACAAAAATGGAGTAAGCTCCCATTACTTGTCCCAGCTTCTGCCATCCTAGCAGTTCAAGAGCACATAAAAATGCAAGTAGAAAAATAGGAACCACTTTAGTGGGAAGGTAACAGCGTTCCATGCGCCTTTGGCTTTTAATCATGCCGGCCACATGACCACGGAGATGTCTTCTGATAGCGCTGGCTCTTCGGCTTTGAAATGGAGATGAGCACCGCCCCCTAGAGTCGGGAACGACTAGAACATATGTGTGAGTGGAACTTTTACCCATTACTTATTTGTAAATATTTTGATGGTTTAACAGTAGATATCTTTTTTATAATAAGGGAAAAATACATATGGCATTTGCAATTTAGCAGCATTTTTAATTCAGCTGAAAACTTCTATGCTTTCATCTTATTTCTCACAAATGTTTTAAAAATTAGTTCTGATTTTAGGTCTGGTTCACAGCTCAACTATCAACATCCATTTTTTTGTTACTGCCTAACTTTATGAAATTAAACTTTCCTAAAAGATGAAAAGACTTC